CCAATTTACTAGGGGCCTTGGATTTCGCCTTTGACTGATTTGATAAGTTGGTTTCATAACATGCTTTGCAAAGCCAAACAGAAGTAGCTGAAGACACACGTGGTTCAAAAGAATCACAATCATGGCAGCCTTGCAAACAAAGAAAGCAACATGCGGCAGGTTTTGTAACAGAATCAAACTGAGTCGAGTATTCGATATCACAATCCGGACAGATGGCAGGGTACAGTGACTGAATCTCGAGTATGATTCTCTTGGCAAGTGAAGGCTTATTTGAAAATATACGGTTGCCTTTAGGCTCCTCGGTTTTGATGTTGAGAAAAAGAGCACAAGCGTTCAATGTAGCTAACTGAAAACGGGGCCCACCGAGTACAGTCTGATTATCGGACACATCTTTAGACGAGTCAAAAGCAGTCAGGAGTGTTTTGGGAAGTGGATCTGCTTTACTCAAAAGATTACCAATAATAAGCCGTATCTTTTCATCGAAATTTGGAATGACAGTTGACATAGTTTACAGATTCCGTGTACTTGTATTGTGTATAGTGTGTAAAAATCCGTCGAACAATTACACGCACACAGTGATGAGCCAGTCTTATCTCAAATAGAAATATTAGATAAGAGAGCTATGCAAATGTAAACGTATTCAAAAGTGTAAAATAATCCAGGCGCCAGTAGCCTTCTGGATACGGACATCCAGGTCTCTGTTGATTGTCCCATCCCCACTGATAGTTGCACCCAGGTAGACAAAGTTGCTAACCTGCTCGACGGGTTCACCCTCAACCGACAGCTCAATACAATCATCCTTGATGAAAGGTCGCTGGGAGGCGCACTTGCTTACAGCCATGCATTGGGTCTTCTTTGCATTTATTCTGAGCCCAGCGTAGGAGCTGTAATGAACTAATAGATCAGTTGACTCCTGTAGGCCTTCCCCTGAGTTGTCCATAATAGCCATGTCATCAGCATAATCGGTGTCCAAAATGACCTTTTCCTCGACCGTCTTCGTCTCTTTCTGCAGCACTGCGCCTTGACTGATGATCTTGTTGGTCTCAGCCAGAAATGCAGAAAAGTTTAGGCAGAAATTAAAGACAGGAGGTGCTTGAATGTCGCCCTGACCTGTGCCTGAGTTAACATCAAACCAGTCTGTCAGCTCCCCATTAACCCTCACGGCACTCATGGTACCCCCAAAAAATGACTAAAATATTCTGACATATTTTTCAGGCAGCCCATAGTGTCTCATACTGCACCAAATAAAGTCCCTTCTGATAGAATCGAACGCTGCCTTGAAATCGACAAAATTAATGTAAAGAAGAATGTTAAACTCAAGACAGTTATGAATAATAGTTCGGAGAGAATAAATCTGATCAATACATGAGCGGTTCTGTCTAAATCCGCACTGATTCTCCCTGAGAAGACACTCCATACCAGCATGTAACCGCTTAAGAAGAATCATCTGAAAAAGCTTAGATGCTGTAGACCTTAAGGTGATCCCTCTGTTGTTCCCGCAGACTGAAGTGTCTCATTTCTTCCCAATAACAATGATCACACTCTTTAACCAATCTTCAGGAACAGTCTCTTCTTCCCAGACTTTCTTGAATAGACACTCTAGTTGATCAACTAGAGCACTCGCACCATACTTCAGTTAGTTATCCCGTCCACTCCTGGGCTTTTGTTGTTCTTAAGCTTTGTCAGGGAGTAACTAATCTCGTCTCTGGTGGGTGGTCCATCCGAACAAGAGAGAGAGTTAAAGTGGGGTTGGGGTGGTACTGTATCAAGGTCGGCAAGGTCGACACTTGATAATGGAGGGTTCAGAAGTTCAGTAAAGTACTCCTTCCACCTATCCCTCTGCTGTTGGGGATCCGTGATCTTCCTACCGTCCTTGTCCCGGACACAAGATGCTTGAGGCTTCTTGTTCTTACCAGAGATCTTCTTGATCTTTGCCCATACCTCACGCTGCTGACCTTTGCTCGCTGCTTCCTCAAGATCAGTAGCTACTCTAACTGCCCAGTTGTTGTCGTCTAGCTTGCTGCTTTTCTTGACTAACTTATTAAGTTTAGAATACTCTGACCTGTTAGCGTCCGAGTTTGGGTCTTTGCACTTAAACTGTGCCCGCTGAATCAATAAATCCTTGGTCTTCCGTGACAGGTGTTGCTCCTTTGCCTTCCGGGGTCTCTTGCCTAGTACCTCCAGTGAGACATCAGTGACGGTCTGACTGAGATTACGCCACATATCCTCGAGGTTGACCTCACTATCCAGACTTGCAAATCGGTTTTGAAGAGCCACATTGTACTCTGTAACCGTAGTACTATCCCTCAGGCGCTCAATGGCAGGCACATTGGGCCTGTTGGCGTTGATCTTTGTCACTGACTGAAGTTTGATTTTCAGCAGTCCTAGAACCAGATAATGATCGGGGCCGATGTCTGCCCCGCGACATACCCTAACATCAAAAAGTGACTGACGAAACCGCTTTCCAATGCAGATATGATCTATCTGATTGACGGTGAGCCCGTTGGGGGACCGCCATGTTCCCTTGTGAATTTTCTTGTGCTCGAAGAGAGTTCCCCCGATGACAAGCTGGTTCGTCGCACAGAAATCCACAAGTCTTGTCCCGTTGTCATTTGATGAGCTATGGAGTGATTCCCCACCGATGACCGCTTCACTTCCATATCTGCCTGATGTTACTTTTGCATTAAAATCGCCGAGCAGTAACTTGATATCGTGACGAGGTAGCCCATCAAATGTATCTGTGAGTGTCCTATAAAACTTATCTTTCTCACTCTCCTCTGCACCCTCAGTTGGAGCATAGGCCACAACAACAGAGATGTTGATTTGCTTACTATGCAGCCTAGCAGTTAAAACCCGCTCCGATGTGGGAGTGAACGATATCAGGGAGTTTCTGATTCGTTTTGAAAGACTGAGACCGACTCCCTGTCTCTTGATCCCGTCGACTCTACCGGAATGGATGAGTAGACTGCCATTGTCCAGTAGAGTGGTGCCAGATCCAGGCATGTGAGTCTCGGTGATCCCCAAAAGATCCAATCTGTACTGATCAATGTTTTGACTAAGTTGGTAGAGCTGTGTAGATGAGCTGACAAGAGATAGAACGTTCCATGTTCCAAAACGTAAAAACTGTTTGCAATAATTTACTGGATTGGATTTGTTGGAAGCAGGGTCAACATGGATGATCTGTTGACTAATAAATCTGGTCGGATGACGAGTACCCCCTCTTCTCATCAGGCGACTGGGTTCCCGTAGGCTTTGCCCAGCCTCCGTCATGCTGGAACCATCCGTCCTTGAATTGGAAGTAGCACTCCGTCCATTTGATGTGTGTGTTGTTTCAGTAGCGATGTTATTTGAGGTGGAAGGGATGCTGGCCCTTCGCACCCGATGAACTGCATGCAGTCCTAACGAGACAGATGTCCCGGTTATATTTTTCGACCTGTACTGGTCTAGAGCCGCAGTGTTCTGTTACCGTTCACCTGTTTTAACTGGAATCACCCAGAACAGGCTACTAAGCTTAACAGTGGCACCTCGAGAAGGGTGTGGCTCTTCACCACGCACTACGGATCTTGGGCTCGGAGAGGTTGTGTAAGACACTTCACGAGCCCCTGGAGTTTGGAAAACCCCTTAACCACTCAACCATATGTAATAGGTAGTTGCAAAGTAACCATGGTATTGGTAACAAGGATTGTACACGTACGTGCACGTGCAATGATTATTGTTACGACATTTTGATCGGTTTTGAGGTAATTACTTTGTGTTTAGTGCAAGCTACATTTTGATCGGCTGTGTCTTCGGTTGTGACGGATATTTTTTGATGCGATAAAATCTGACTACCGAAGAATATTATTACCTTCCTCCCTGTGACCACGGGCTCTCTAGTCTATATAATAATTCGAAAGATTCTCTTTGTATGTCTTTCTGTCTGTACGACCGCCCACGTGCAAATTAGACGAGAAAAAGGAAGTTAGGTAAAAACCAAAAGGTTGCATAGCAACGGTGTTGTAATGCGAGTGTTTTACATTTGAATCGGCTGTATCTTCGGTTAAGATACAAATTGTTTGATGCGATTAAAACTTTCTTTCAAAGAACACTGCTTATAGCTTCATCCCTGTTACCGCGGGCTTTCTAATAAATTATAAAACTAACGGATAGCAAAAAGATAAGTCATAAAATCTATTTAAACAAATTTTGCAAATACAATATTATGTAAATCTTTAAAAAATTTCAAATAAAATGAAGATTTTTTCATTCTATTTGTCAACAAATTGTTGTTTTTGCATCGTTAAGAAACGTGCATACTTTAAATTATGATTCGAGTATAAAAGTTGCATCATGAAATGTCTCGACTTTACAACTTTACAACAACGAGAATTATAAAAGTACTAGAAAGCCCGTGGTCACAGGGAGGAAGCTAATACATAATAGTATTCTTTGGAAGTCAGTTTTCATAGTATCAACAAATATCCGTCACAACCGAAGATACAGCCAATTAAAATGTAGCTCGCACTGAACTTGTAGGTTTACAACCTACCAGGACGCGCGCCGCTGGAACAAATATTTTACGAGTATCACCCGTTAAGCACTGAACACAACGTAATTACCACAAAACCGATCAAAATATCGCTCGCAAATCTTTGCACGTGCCCGTGCGTGTAACAACCCTCGTTACCAAGGTTACTATGCAACTTCCTATTTCTCATCTGATTTGCACGTGGGCGGTCGTACAGAAATAATTCTCTGAATTATAGTAGAGATAAAGAAAAAAACGATCGTATATACTTATATAGTTTGATAGTTGGTAATGAAGTGAAACCTGTGAAAGTCTCCACTCAGTGTTAAACCCATGAAGTTACGAGACTCATCAGTCAAATCAACTCTTTAATTATAATTGATACATGTTTCGTATCCAAATATGCGGCGCGCGCTTCGCGCGCGAAAAGTGGCATGCAACGTATGTCAAATTATTAACTAATTTATAGTTGTTACAAATAATAAAAACTTACTTGGAATATCGTCGTGATCAGCTAAATAAATCTCCTCGTTGTAAGGAAGAGCGGGGTAGGACTGAAAAGGAGCTGGGGATGTTGCCGGAGTAGTCTGTGTATCTGGACAGAAAGAACTGTCCGGGCATGCTCTAATCTGGTGCTCCTCAGGATCCAAAAATAACACCAGATTTTGTTTATTTTTAACAGGGCCCGCTGAATCTTCTGACCCGTTTGTGTTCATTCTACTGTTAAAAATGGGATGATTACAAATATGATTTCTGATTTATTCTCGGTGAAAATATATTAGTTCAACAAACCCTAAAATTTCAAACTTCAAATAACTGAACGGATCCATATGCAGCATTATGTTCCATATTTTTAAGTTTATAAACACCAAATATATATATACAGGGTGGGCCAAAAGTCAGTGTGCAAACGTTGGGTCTTATACCTCCGCCGTGTTTTGTATTTGAGGGTTGTTGCTTTGCAGATGGTTTACTGTACCTACTGGTTCGAGGATTCCGTCAGCAAAATTTGAAAATTCGAATATTTTAGACCACGCCCATTCAATATTAAAACACTTATATTGTACTCTAGATGTCTAATTTTTTCAGAGACAGTAGATTAATAAATGTTGCATATGATCTGAAAATATGAGGCAAAACGGATTGGAAATGACGAAGTTGACAATCATTTTCTGTATCTCGTTAACAAAATTAACTGGGTGATTATGTGACACCGCGACACGACACCTTAATTGGGCAGCCTTCATGATTCCCATAATGTTTAACGGGGAGGTTAACGGGGTCACCTAATCACGTGATTAGGTAAACCAATCACCTGATCACACGTAATGAATAACCTCGTTAAGGTTCATATCTCGGTCATCTGAGAAGCTAGAACCCTCATTTTTTCAGGCCAAACGTAATTTAAATGGCCAAACACAATTCAATAAAATTTGGCTCGATCCGACTATCCAAACTATCAAATAAATGCGAAAATGAACCTTCTTTTGAAAAAAATGAACACAAATATGTTTCGATTTGACAAATTTCTCGAACCAGTGTTGGTAGTAAGTCATACCAGAACAAATTATTTCAATTGGGCACTCAGTGACTGAGCTATTAAGGCCATCGTTTGCACACTGACTTTTGGCCCATCCTGTATATATAATAGGTATAGTATTATAAGTGAATAACCTTTTTACTAAACGCGACTGTTCACTGTGGCGAAGTGATTATTTTAAGTACCTTGTCGAACTTTATTTGAACGGACATTAATTGGACGTCCGTTCAAAAAAGTCCGACAAGGTACTTAGTTAAATTAACTATATTTAATGAATGCCTTTGAGCTTTCATTTTAATGTCCGTTCAAAATTACCTTAGTTCCCAAAAATTTGTGTGCCATTATATTGAGCACAATTTATTTGAGCCCGAAAAATTTGGGCAGAAAATTTGAACTCATTTGGGCGACCGAAAATTTGGGCACAAATTCTTCGAAAAATGAACGATTTTCCACTAAAATTTCAGTTAGATATTTGCCTTAGTTCATTATTATTCCTTATTATTCCAGTCATTTAGTTTTCTAATACCCTGACCAGTGTCCAGTTCTTTGAGAAAATCCTTCTTCACCACATAGAATCAACAACCCTGAGCAGAAAGCGCTACCAGATGTGTTTCGGGCCCAACACACACAGACACTAAAAGATCTGATGACAGCCAACAACTGCATCCTACAGAAAGTTCCAGCAAATATGACCCATCATCTACAGCCCCTGGACATATCTATCAATGGACTGGCTAAGAAATTCATGCGCAATAAGTACGAAGATTGGTACGCGAAAAACATAGTGTGTCAGCTCAATGGATGAGTTTCATCAGACAATGTGAAAATTGATACCCGCTTGACACTTGACAGTGATCCGTGAAGTACACGCTCGTTGGATCAACGAACTTTTTGTATATTTAAAAGGGAGGCCAGATGACATAAGGAAAGGCTTTGAGAAGTCGGGTATAACTGATGCTTGTAGATCAGACTTTACGGTGGATGATAATCCATTTGCAGATCTTGTTTAAATCTCTATACTAGCTATCCGTACCTCTAGCCATTTGTTTTATTAGTAGCTGTTAGCTATTCCAGTTATTTCTATTCATTTAAAATATAAGCCTTTTTACTTGGTCAAGCCATGAATGACAGATTAGAAAACTAAAATTTCAAATACTATTTCACTTGGATATGAAGAAAAAGCCATCTTTCTATAGATTTCAGGGCCACAGGCCAAATGCCAGAAGTTTGGTTAGCAAAAAATTTAGCAGACGGAAAAGATTTATGCAATTAATTTGGTCTGCAAAAAATTTGGGCGAGAGGCCCGCTCAAATTTTTTGTCGCCCAAATTTTTGGGAATTAAGGTATGCCCGATCACAAAATGCCCGATCAAATAACGTCTAATAAGGTTAGTAGTAATAGTATAACTATAAACGGAAACGTTTTTTAACATCGGGTAAAGTATTTGTCACCTATCAAGACTCGAGAGAGAGACACGCAGTACCCGGTTAAATTATAAATAATAAATAATTATAATATTCAAGTTGTACCATTACCAGGCACTGAATATCTGCTTCGCTTCGTTTATCAAATTTAATTAGGTAGCTTTACTACCTACAGAACACAAGTACCTTATTGGACATAATTGTCACGGACAAGTCTTTCACCGACCAAATGTTTCACGGACATAACTATTCACGGTCATGACCGCCCAAAAAAGTCCAAGAAATTGTGAAAGTTGTTGGTGATTTTTTAATAAGTGTTTTACTATTTTTCTGAACCCTAGAATGTGACTGAGGAGTCATTATATTTGTCCTAGTAGGTATACTAATAAGCTAATTATATAGTAATCGGCTACACACATATCTACGCTTAATAATAATAAGTACACTAAAATTAATGGAAATAATTACCGGACTTTATTATTAGTAGACCTTAATGCCACAGACATTATTTTCACGGATGTAATTATTCACGCTAAGGTCTTCAGCGCGAAAGTAATGTCCGTGATAATTATGACCGATAAGGTATATTACAGTATGTAATGCCAGAATTATAAAAATGTGAAAAATACTGTACATAATTAATACCTTTTAATGCCGGGAAATTATTGGATTTTTGAACAACCCGAAATTATTGGATTTCATAGCAACTGCGTAATCATTGCTCGATCGATTAAATTTATTAGTCGGATCGTTTATAGTGGTATATATCGAATGTATTCCATTTCCTATTCAATAGATATGGATTCCTTTTGCTTATCTGAAGTTAACAAAATGATAATAGGCCAAACAACTATAACGTGTTGTAGCATGAGAGGAGTCACAAGGCAAACTGATAACGAAAAGGATTCTGGTGAAGCATTAGAAGGAAGGGCTACACTATGGATATGGTAATCACACTGTATATATCTACATACACTGTATCTCGACAACCTTATATGTCCATTCGATTGGATCTTTGACCGGGGAAATCCTAAAATAATAGCAAAATATCGATATTTGATACTATCTTGTGCAGCTAGTTCTAATACACTTTTGTGCAAATTTTGCTAATATGCCAACGAAATTAACCTTATTTTAAAAAACATGGGCTTTTTAGCCCATTTTGGATCGAGAAAATTGGGGTTTAACCGGGTATACTCAGTTTAATCATCTCAGGACCACTTTTAATGAATTCTACGGTCAAAAATAAGGAGTATCTGGATTCTGGGGTCCCTAGCGTATCGAGCAGAAAATGCATTCTACTTACATGGCGATATAACATGCGTGACGATATACAGTGTATGTCGAGATACAGCGTGCAAATCTAGGGATTTTGAGCTGTGAAACTGATCATAGGAGTCGTTCATCAGATGAACATTATGGCAGAAGATGTTTAGTCTCCTTCAGTCACTTATTTAGATCAGGGAAACAAAAACACGATGCACACGAACTTTGCGATTATTACGTCACTCATGGCTGTGTTTTTATAGATCTCGGTGAACTTGCCAATATGATTGATCATGTGATCCTGACAGCTGACGACTGAGGGCTGTGAAATGAACGTGCTTTCCAACATGTTTCCTTGGTATCTGGTTTTATAATTAGCCCAAATAAAACGACAAACGAAGAAAAGTCTGCGATTTAGCAGAGCAACAACCCGTCACTAAGGTCCACCAAAGAAGAGATCCTAGTATTTATAAATATTTTTCTTTTGCGGCGCATCTTTTCTTTTTTATCCCTTAAAGCTTATTGACGTCGATTGAATGAAAACTTTGAAACAATGAACTTTAAGTCTTTGTCGTAGTTTCATTCTTTTCGCATCTATAAAAAAAACCGTGAGTGCGTACACGTGCACACGTACTGACACGCGTACACACACGTGTAATTGTAATGCACAGCGGTCCCACTATGAATAATTCTAAATCACTTGCCAAGGATTTTTTATTTTTACAGAATTAAAGGGCCCTGGGCAAATGAAAATGGTATTATTTAAGATATTTTTCGATGTTGATTCCAAAACATCCCCATGTTGAAGGTTAAAACACTTCCCTAAGACTGAGAGCCTGAGAAGTTTTACCTGGGGAACTATATAAAGCTATAATGTTCATAAACAATAGAGATTCGGCGGAATGACAGGCTGAGCACCGCCCAGTAAGAGGATGATGATTAATCACTCTACACTCGACTGTCACGTGACTTTTTAAACACGTTCTCTTGGTGGCCCTGAATGACTATTCGAAATCATAGCCCTCTAATCTGATGCCAACCTTAACCCTAACCCAATCCCTAACAAAAGCATATGCTGAAACCCTAACCCTAACGAGAAATTCGACCAACTTCCTTATACGGTCATATCACGTGATCAAGACAGTTTTTCGCAAATATCTCGGCAGGGGAGCATTTTAACCCTATGTCATGGGGGGTGATTCGGAAATACATCGATTCAAGCTGGTTTCAACTGTCGGGGGCCCTTTTAGAACAATCTCGAAGATCGACTGTAGAGTGATTTAGCACGCTCGCCAGTAAGAGGAGTTATGATCAAAAACTGTTTCGGTCACGAGACAGGCTAGTAAAAAATGAATTCTATCGTTTAGGGTTAGGGTTGTGGTTATGCTTATAGCTAGGCCGGTTTCAATGCGAATTGAGACCGTTTATTCCACTTAAAAACGGTAAAAACGCAAGTGATACATATTTGACATCAGTCAACAGCGAA